CAATTTCAATGTCCATTTTTGTCTGGAATGACTTCCATGTACATGTCATTCACAACTTTCAGCTCTGCGATCCTGGTAAACTTTTTGTATCCATGTAGGATTTCAACAGGCTTAGAACTTGAAATGCATGCTGTAAAAACCTTTCAGACTGGTAGAAAGCTGTACATAAAATTTGAAGTCTGTAAATGAAAAGTGCAGCACAAATGCAGATTTGAGTAATTGCAACAGGACCATAAAGACTACAGTAGTTACTGTCTGACCCTTGGCTGGAAAAAAAATTTGCCAACCTCTGTTCTAGACCATACACAGTCCTATTTTGATGCCACCAGGGATGTCAGCTAGGCATTTTTGTGTGTGGTAGCTTAGTGAACATGGTGATTCTAGACTTGGACAGCTAATATCTCAATGAGCACATAGAATGTGGGTTCATACGTACGTGTGCATACGTGATTGTATCTGTCCACCTGTAAATCTTAAGAGGCACTGACAGATCTTCTAGTAGGACACAGGTTCTAGAGGGGGTGTCTACCTGGCTGCCCAAGATGATGTGGTTATGACGACTCCCTAATGTTTTCTCCCCAGGATGGGGTAAACTCGTCCAGCCGGGAAAGTATCCCCAAGGGTGCAGTCTTCATCCCAGCCCCTGAACGCTTTCCTTCTGTCCCTGACTCCTGTCCCCAGCCTCTGCATTGTGGGCCCCCACGGATTCCTGCCTGTGTGCTGTCTGCACCCTGACTTCCTCTGCATGGTCCCAGTTCCCAAGGATTGGAGTACAAGCCTTGCCTCACTCCCTGTGAAAAGTTCGCTGCTGCTGGATCTAGCGTGCAGTGGTCTCTTGGGGGCACCTGTGGTGTGCATCTCCCGAGCAGCGCCCTGTTCCTTTCCTGGAGCCAGTGCTTAAAGGTGGGTGGGAGACCTGGCAGGCTCGTAAGGAGCTGCTGCTCAGCTGCTTGGCCACATGTCAGCGTCACACCGGGGCTCTCTCAAGGATCCTGCCTGTTGCTGTGTATGCAGTACTGTCCAGTTGCCCACTGGCACTTCCCAGCCATTACTGGTCTCCTTGTGAGGTTGTGGTCTCCCACCCTCCCGCCACATTTGAGGGTCTGCTTTTGTCCGGGAGGGTGCACATCATTAAGACCCTTGTTGGGACCTGGAGGAAATGGTTTCTGGGAAACGAGGTGTTTCTTCCTGAAACAGCAGATATGCTTCCTCTGTGTTCCATTTTGTTTCTATTCAGAACATCCCCGATTTATCTGCAGAATACTGATTCCCACCTACATCAAAAGGCCGTATGCTTTCTAACCCCAGAGCACATTTTGAATCCCTTAATTTATATTCTTTCCTCCATGTATGGAACATACATCCTCTCTGTCTCTCCCTTTCTGTCTGTCTGTCTGTCTCTCTCCCTCCCCACCCCCTCTCTTTCCCTCCCCCACCTTAAATTCCTTAAGTGAGGGTAAGGATATCTGGTCTCAAATCTCCCACCACCACATTTCCTACAAATGTTAGACAAATCAATTCATTGTTTTTAATAGCCTGAAGATTAAATCTCAGCTCTCTACCTTGCCAAATTCTTAAGTTTTTCTGAGGCTGAAATGAGGAAGCAAATTCATTCATCTGCTATGCAGTCAGCCTTTACTATCTGTCAGGTGCTGTAGTAGACTCTGGGATACATTTATGAGGAGGACAAACAAGTCCTCCGCCCCCCCACGGCCCTGGCATTAGGCTTGGGAAGTCAGATGTTAGAAGAGGAAACAAAGTTACGTGTTGGATGTGGTGGCAAATGCTTTGAGGGACATGAATAAGCCTGACAGGGAAGTAGATGCTCAGATAGGGCTGTCAGGAAAAGCCATTCTGAGGAAGTGATACTTGAGGTCGTAATATTTGAAAGAAAGCCTCACATACATGGAACCGTGAAAGTCCTTTATAAGCTCTAAGATGTCCTCTCAACAAACAGCTGTCCCTCCAGGCCCCAGGGGCGGTGGGGGGTGGGGGCAGGGCAAGCGAAGTTAGTCAGTTTCCGCGGTTGCCGGAGCTACAACTTTACAGTTATCTCTGTACTTTATCCTGAGCCTCCGTTTTGCTCATCCAGATGGTTGGTCTCTTCCTTCTCTTTTGTGTGTTTTGTGCTGGCCTAGTCTTGGCGCTTGTCATCTGGCCCCAGTCCATGACACGGTCTTCCTTATGCCTGCTCCCCGTCTTTTCTGCCACCGTTCCTGCCCTTCCCTCTTGCTGCTCCCCTCCAAAACCCCCGCCATTGACTTACCTTTCTCATATGCCCATGCTTCCAAAACCTTCTCAAAGCTAGCCTCCTTTTTTGCTAAACTACCTGTCCTTCGTAATATAAGCAACTTCTGCTACTCATCTCCAGAAACGGAATATTTCCAAATTGACTGGAACTGACTGGCACAGTGGTTGGCATATAGTAAGCTCCCAATAAATGTTGGTTGAACAATGAGGGAATGAACGGACTCTCCTAATCTTAGCCTACCTATGGGAGTAAAGTGGTTTTTCCTTAATCACATGTGTATTCTTTCCTCACATGTGAAATGCACATAAAAGCCTTCAACTTCTGCTATGTAGGATATCAGAATCTTCCCTTATTCACAAGATTTTTATTTTAAATCTACTCTTTATTTGCTGTACACATGCAGCTTTGTTATCGATCCCAGAGACACTTAGAGACATTGAGAGTGTCTCTGAGATTAACCCGTACTGTGTCCAGCATAGTGCATAGCCACAAGCACAAAGCATGGAGTATGCAAATGTTTATTTACTCACAATAATAGCAGTCACTGATATGTTGATCATTGTGGGTTTTTTTTATTTTTAGCAACCCGAATAATCAAATGTATTCGTTCAGAATAAGCAGCAATGTTCAAAGGAAAACCTTTGTATTAAGGAAGTTGCCATATTTGCAGTTAAATAGCAGCCAGAATCAGTTTCTTTTGGAGAAAATTTCCAAGTAGGTCCAGAGTTTGGTTTTAGCTCCTTTGTGTGACATTATTGATTACTAATGGCAATAAGAATTTAGTCTCAAACAACTTCTTGAGATTTTTCAAAAACAAATGGAATGTTCACTTTTTCTAGGTATAGAGGAATGTTGAAGACTCATCACTGCCACCTTGTTTCTAGAATTGGATCTTAAGTGTCATTAAGTATTCATTTTAAAAGAAACATAAATCTTACTGTGTTACATCAATTAGAAATAACTTATAAAGGATCCTTCAGCTTTGGGCATTCTCTGTTTATAGTTCTAAAATATTTAAATAATACCAAAAATAAAGGGTCGCATTGATTTTTTTGTTGCTTATATTCTTAAATTCAAGAAATTTTACATAATTTAAACTGTGATTTTTATTTGGATTAACACAAGGTTCTGACCCATGTGATCAGGAACAACTACAAAACAACAGCTCAGTATTTATGATTTTATATTTGTTGCCCAATGGGATGTAACTATAAAGTAATGGGACAGTTTTTCCAAAAACCGTTCTGGGAATTATGGACCCAGGAGGCCCTTGTCCCCTCGAAAGCAGTCACCTGGGGAAGGCTACACATTTGTTCCAGTCACGCTGCTGTAGCTTAAAATACTGTGGCATGCCTCTTTTTTGACCGCTTCTGAACTGCTGAGAAATAATAGAGTAAAATGACATAGTATTTTGAATCTCCTGAACTGTGGCAGAGGTGAATTTGATTTTGATGAGTAGTCAGAAGTCATCTCAGGATCAAGGGCAATCAGTACAATTTGGAGTGTTATTTGCAGGCACAATTGGATATAAAATTACAAAATGGGCTTTCTTGAATGATACATAAACTAACTCTTGAAATTGATTGGTAAAGAGGAATTCCAGAACCTTGGACCTTGGAATAAATGTCTAAGCTCCCAAGGTAGCTACTAGGAAGAACAATACATGTGTAGGTTAAAAAAAAAAAAGTGTGTGTATGTTTGCAAAATAAGATCAGTTTTATTACTTTATAGACATACCTTGTAGATGAAAAAAATACTCCTATCATGGAACTCTTTATAAGCAAACTTCTGAATGTAAGTAGAATTTCTCTCTCACCCTTTCTAAGCCTCTTGAGAACTCTGAATTTCTATAATGACTTATTCTGAATCTTCAGCTTTTCAAAAAGTAATGTTCGTTTAAAAAGTGGATGCTTTGAGGTTTCTCTTTACCTTTTTCTGATCAACTTGGTTATCTCTGCTATTCCTTTTTTTTTTTTTTAAGAGTATCCATCTTTGTTCACTCTGAGACTCTCAAAATCCATTTCCTCATGGTAAAAATATCATTAAGCTTTTGAACCAAGATAGAAAACAGAATCTAAGCTGAAGGTTATTAATTGTTCCATATTGTTTTAAGCTTTTTGTTGCATTAGTAACAAGCAGATGCCTTTCTTTTATAAAATGGGACCCTGGTATTTTAGTGAATAAGAACATCAAATTACAAGCCGAGAAGTCTCAAAGATTTTTAAAACATAAATACTCTGAACGTTGGGGTTCCCACTATGTTTTTCATTCTCCTAGTGAAAGCTTTAAAGAGAGAGTTCAGCCAAGCGGCTGGACCAAGTTTCTGTCAAGTCGCCATCCGGCCCCAGGCAGGGACTTTCAGACTGCCCATGGGCGGTGGAGCTGACATGTTCTGCTTCACCAAATTTCCAAATTTATCCCACCACATCCAACTTCTCGAGGCCAGCCAGGCCCCCATTTCTTCACTGCTAAGTCGAAATAATAATGAAAAGTAAAATGGAGCACGGAAAGCAGAGAAAATTGTTATCCTTTGCAAAGAAGCCAAGACAGCTAAATTGTGACACAATTTAAACTGTTCCAATTCGACAAGTTTGATTGGAAAATTAGGTGACCCAGGTAGTTAGAGATCAAAATGGGCACTGGTTTACAGTTTTAAAAAAGTCTTCCTTGTGTTTTTACCGCAGACTGATCGAATATTATTTTATTCTACCTGGTAGTAACTGTTGCCCAAATGACTATTGTTTTACAGTTTGGTGATTTAAATGCTGTTTCTCCTGGAAATCTGGATAAAGGTAAGAAGTGAAAATAATGTACATTTTTAAGAACTTCTTTGAGAAATTCCCGTAGGGGAAAATGTGGTGTGTGCCTACAGTATTGTTATTCTGCAGAAATGGCCACATAACCCTACAGGAATAAGACAGTTACGTGTCTTGGAATCCTCATTGTTTATTTCTCCATTTCTGTGCCTTCTTTATGTGAGGGATATTAAATGCAAGAATTGAATTTAAATGCAATTGCAAACTCTGCACGACTTTTGCTTGCAGTTCATTACAGGTAACAAGAAATTATTTCTGACCGTCGCCAGAGTCCTGGAGAAAAGTGATAAAATTTTATTGAAGGCCCACTCGGCAGGAGGAAAGATTTCTCAGCCTTCCCCTTCCCACCAATTCATACTTTTCACTGGAAAAATAGCTCAGAGATAGTAAAGAAGTTTACCGTAAAAAGCAAGATCAGCAGTGGGACGGATGAAAAGGATCAGCCACAGACTTCTCAGATTTTAAAGCCAGCATTACCACTCGGCTAAGATGCCATTCAGATATGTATTCCTGAAGGAACTTAGGATCTACAAAACCACACAGGAAAAGGAACAGGGCTCTGGGGAAATGAGGTTGGGATAGAGCACATGCAAAGAAAAACCATCCTAATAAACATACCAGCTCAATTAAAAAAAAAGTAAAATGTTTAATAAGCAAACACTGCAGAAAATATAGGCCTTTCTTAAAAAAAAAAAAATGACAACAACAAAAAACCAAAAAAAAAAAAAAACCCCAAAAAAAAGAAAAGAAAAGAAAAACCACCAAAAACAGAAACAAAAAAGTAAAGATATCCTGAGGTTTTAAGGAACTGAGTTCTGGAGTCAAGGACAGAATGCCCAGATGGAGGAAAACTGCACAGTAAGCCCTTCCAGGACAGAGCAGAGCTAGTGGGGAAATAGGCCAGAGGAAGGGCTTGGGGAGTCTGTATGTGAAGGGCAGTGTGGTTCTCTGGAGCCTCCTGCCCTGGGGTACTTGTGGCCAGCCTCCATGCCTCCTTGGTGGTGGAAAACGTGAACGTGCTGGCGGAAGTCCTAAGGAATCAGTCTCACTCCCAGGTTAAGCTCCTGTCAGCCTCTGTGACCAGTGAGGCATTCATGAATTCCCGTTTTAGTAATAGGCATCATAGCCAAGCAGGGCGAGTAGAAAATAACAGCCCAAAGACATTCCTGCTGCAAATATATAGTCTCTGCAATTAACCCAGTAACAGGAAGGTGAATTAGTGATGATACTAGTTTGTAATTTCAGAGCAAGGAAAGTGAGCATTGAAAGCCATGGCCAACATAAGGCAACCTTGCCAATGCACTGACCAAAGCCTGAGGGGTCACACTTGAGGATTTCATCCCGTGTGCCAAAGTGCACAGGCGCATTCTCCTTGGCCATGGAGTGGCCGCCAGGCTTCTCTGTAAAGTGCTGGACCAAAACCAAGTCTTGAGTCAACTTCAGTAGCACCTCATTTTAGTTTCTGTGTACCAAATTTCTATAACCTTGAGGATTTTTCTAGAAAGTGTCTTTGAGTCTTTAGGAGGGCATAAAATATCTGTGGAATTGCATTAATTTGCCCTTAGAAGTGGAGAGAGGGCTTGCTTTTTTGTGGATTGCTTTGTAGCCTATCCATAGGAACCCCATCACCCACAAGTGGACCCAGAGAGAAGTGGCCTTGGAATGCTTAGGTTTGTTCGGCCCATTATCCCATTGCCATTTCTACTCACGACACGTAGATGAAAGGACTCTCTCCACTCTCTTCACTCACTACCTGCTTGAAATGATTTTTTTTTCTTTCAGTGCTACTTCTTTTATTATTTTCACACTATTTCTCAGGCACAGAAATGTTGGCGGAGAGGGAACCATGAAGCAGTGTGATTTATCCGCACGTTGGGGTGGCCTCGCTGGTCCCATTCACCCCCAGACCTGGTGCTTCTTGACATACGGCCAAACTGGCCTACTCAGGGCCTGAGGCTTGAATGTGAAACCTTCAAGAGTTCTGGTGGGCTTTTTCCACAGAAGGAGAATTTTCATTTTTTTTCCTGATAATAAAAGTCATTTTAGCGCTATATAAAAATTTCAAATAATACAGAGATTTAGAAACTATGACAAGTGAATTTTGTAGTCACAACCCTAGGAGAGAACCATCATTAAGAATTTAGTGTGAGGATTTTTCCAGATTTTCCTTTGTTTGTTTGTTTATATATAAGCAAATACAAAAACAGACCCAAAATGTGTCATACAAACGTGTTTCAGTTATACCGTCTTCATGAAGCAAATGTCTACCCAACGCACCCCTTTCCCTGAATCAGCCCACATTCCTTCTGGATGTGCTTCTTCTGACAAACCCTGTTACTATAAAGTCCATTCTCCAGAGGCAAAAAGGTAACAGGATAAAGTAGGTGAGCCTCAGCTAAGAGCACTTCTGTGTTTACCTCTCAGTAATGCGGCACGTCCTTTCTAGTCAAGAAACCTCATGTCAACCTTTTCAGTCACACATCCCACTTCTCTGGAGGTACCGTTGCTGGCAACCGCATGCCGCACAACGTGTGCAACTGTGTGCGGAGGCCCCGTTCCTCCTCATCACTCTTCTCTGGAAACAGCTTTGCCCCAATAGTAAGCTAATGATAATGAGGGAAGAAAAGTCAAGGGGCTCATTTGTTAGCAGGGACTTCTGGAGGTGTGTGCTCCAAATGGTACAACTCCATTCAACAGCCCTTAGAAAGAGTCCAACCTAATCGGACTGAAGAGATAGTTGTTAAACATTCACTGCATGTTCATAAAGTCAAAAGTTTCATAGTGAATTATAGGTATATTTTAGTTATAGATGAAGTATTCGATGCAGTTAAACAATTTTCGATTCAAATGGAAATTTAAAACAATGATTTTTTTTTTAACAGTAAAACCTGTGGAAGGTGAAGTAAAAACTCTTTAGATTTTTAAGGCAGAAATCTAGTCCCCACTATTTAAAAATTATCGCTGATGGGGAGGTGTTCTCTACACTCTTTTGAGAAGAACCTTGCATAGTGGTAAAGTTGTATATGAGCATTTTCTCTCTCTACTGTACTTTTGAATTTTAACAGTACGTACTGGAAAAAAATGAAGTGGGAGTCCATTATAATGATGTCTTGGTTAACATAAAATGTGTTAAAATGTGGAGGTGACAACGACTACTTAATACATTTAATTTCCAGAAGTGAATATCGGCTATTAACAGTGAATGTCAGCGTTGCCAGGAACGGAAATCCATCGTGCATTTTTAATCTGATAGTGCTGCCTCAGTCAGTATATTTTTAAGAGCCTATTTAATATTGTCATCTACAACATTCAGGGGCACCGAAAACTCTATACACTAGCCCTTCCTTAAGCGTGTTGTTATTTTGTGAATCATCATAAGCCTCACCTGTATAAACATGGGCACAGGTGAAATTTATACCTAGTGTAGATTTCAAAGGAGGCTGAGAATATCCCTCCCTCCCTTAGCATGTTTCAGCTCATCCCCAAAAGCAGCATAGCCTACCCAAGTGACTACTTTAGGATGACTCAAATGATGCCAACTACTCAATCCAAAAACTTAAGGGAGTCCCAAAGGTCTTCTTAAGAGAACTCTTAAAAGTATCACTCACAGACTAGCCACGACTCAGTTACTGTTGCCACGTTGGAAAGGATTTTGGGCGCGCGAGTAGCGCGTTGATACCAATGAAATGCACGGGGCCAAGACTCGCAAGCTCTGTGCCCGGGCCAAGCTGACGGGTTGCTCGCTGTCATCCGGGGTGTCTTCCGGTAATACGGTCTTGGTGTCGTTTGTGCAGACGAAGGCAGCGAAGTGGAAAGCGAAATGGATGAAGAACTGGATGACTCTTCGGAACCGCAAGCCAAAAGAGAGAAGACCGAGCTGAACCAGGCGTTTCCGGTGGGCTGCATGCCGCCGGTGCTGGAGAGCGGCGTGCAGCCCAGCCTCCTGAATCCCATCCACAGCGAGCACATCGTCACGAGTACTCAGACTATCAGGCAGTGCAGCGCCACCGGAAACACCTACACCGCGGTCTAAGGAACATTAAAGCGTATTTTTCCAGCTAACATTACCCCTGTTGATAGATTGGGCTTAAGTTGAAAATTCAATAAGCCTGAAGGTCGACTGTTGTCAAATTCTATCTGTGCTGAACATTACCTTTTTGGAGTTGTGAAATGGAATGGGTGTATGTATTTTGCCAGGTCTCTCTCTCTCTCTCTCTCTCTTTTTTTTAACGTAAAAAAAAAAATCATTTGCCTCTAAATAATAAGTTTTTTTTTTTCCTTTAGTTTCAGGTGTCAAGAAGGATTTTTACCACACTTAATGCCAATGTTTTTGTTTTATAATTAAAAAGTAATTTACATTTTTTTGTAGCTTAAAATATTTTATTGTTGATTGTAAGTCTTGGTGTATGATTTCATGTGTAAGTTTTTAATTAGATGCACTTCTGTGAAATATCAAAAGAAATGAATTTCTTTGATTTACACTGGAGGCATGCCCATTTGGCAGCAGATGCATCACATTTGCTTTTGAAAGGTGCTTTTCATTGGACAGAACCACGAGACAGGATTTTGATAACACTTTGGTACAGAGAGAGAATACAGAGCATTTTTATTACAGTGCTAGAGGGTTGGGAAGGTCATCTATTTTTCTCTGGAGAAAAATTGAGCTGTGCATTTATCAGTTCAGAGTAAATGACAGAACTGCAAGAGATTATGCTAATATGTACATAATTTGTGTACATAATTATTAAACCATATTAATGCAAACTTCCGTTAAACATTGAATTTTAACCGTTATTTGCATACCAATTCCTCTGTTTAAAGACTACTGATTCTGTATTTGGGACCACTGCACAGATGCATTCTGCTGTTGAGTGGGGCTGTTATAGTTAGATACTGAAGCTGAAAAAAAAATGACTTGACTTTTTTTTTGTTTTGTTTTGTTTTGTTTTTTTAAGTGTACATGCTACTTATGCTGAGCTGGACATACAGGAAACCATTCCATTTGGATGACTTTCTTTTATTCCAGGTCTTTTTCCTAATAGTAGTTCAATATGCTGCTATTATAGAAGAAAATTTATAGAATGCAAGGAATGTAGCAACCTGCATATCGTGATTTCCTTCAAAAATATTTCCTGGTTTCTAAAGTATGTGGATTTAAATTTTAAACAGAACCTGAAGGCAGTGTACCTGGCACACCACACTGTTGCTTATCCCCAATTCAGTAGGATTTGGATAGGTGGCTGGATGGACCAGTGCCATTGAAGAATGTACATCAGGGATCATCGTACCTCGGCTATTACATGGTGCCTTAAAACAGAACTGAAGCTACGGTTTAGTAAGGCTTATTTTGTTCATGTGAATTCCTCTTCAATCCATTTGACAAGGTGTGCCTGTCACGTTCAGATTCCCGAAGTGAGGACAGGTCACATGTTCTTCAAAGGAAATTTAGGGCAAGCAGAGCAAAACAAAAAGACCAAAAAAAAAAAAAAAATCAATTCCCCTCTCCGAGTGACCACGGATGGACTTTTTGTTCATAGAGCTGAACATTACTTGATTACAAATCAGATTGCTTAAGGGTGTGGAATAGCAGACTAGTTTTAATTACCAACTTGTCACATAAAATCATATATGTTTTGGGCCATTTTTATCTAGTTATCATTTAAGAAAGTTAACAAAATAAGCAGGTACTTATCGAAGTGCATCTTTTCAGTCTCAATGTTTTGTTTTGTTTTGTTTTGTTTTGTGTGTGTCTTGGTGTCTGTGTGTCCACAGCGCACACGAGTGCCCGTGGGCAGGGGTCAGCTGCAAAGTCAGGTGAGGTCCTAGACAGGATACACCCATCCCCATATGAATTTACATGAAAAGCCAAGGTTCTTTTAAGCACTCAAGTTATTAACAGCAACAAAAAAACAGGCACATCGATTCATTTAAGTAGTTTTTAAAAAGCTGATCAAAAATAAATGAATACATAAACACATAAAGCAAAAAAAAAAAAAAAAGAAACAAAAGGGAAAGCACAAAATGATTTACAGATGATTAATGAGGCCTATGCCTATATTTAACTCAAGATGTTCATCTTTCCAGTTTCACCTGGGTGGGGGTGGGGGGTTGGAAAGCAGAGGGTGAGCCAATCTGTAAAGTTAAAAATACCAAATGGCTCATTGGGTAGTGTGCTGTTGCTCAGTTGCCTTAGGCCATTCACAAAACTAAGATCAACAGAGTTTCTTAGGTAAACTTTAAAGGCTCTAGATGTTATTTTTTAAATGGATTCAAATTTCATATGACTCATCTCATATATTTGGAAGTCTTCACTTGCATTCTCCCATCACCTCATCCAAATATCATTGAAATGACCATTCCCCTTTTTTCTCCCCAAAAAAGGCGATGAATTTGCACCATCACGCACACAAAAAGGCAAACAAACAAACAAAACACCTTCACTCGGAAGACCACATATCTGTTTCATTGTGCATTAGGGAACGTTTACAGGTAAAATTAAAATCACAAAATGACAAAGACACTCTTAATTTTGACTCTCCTTTCTGAAAAGCTTTTTCGCTTTCCTCTCCATGTCCACCAGCCCCAGAACTCCACTCTATCTGTATCGCACCAAATGTATTTGCTGGTTTCACCTTGTTTATGGAACGATTTTCAATGTATTTATTATCATTGTTTACTGTTGGATATATTTGTATCATTAGAGGAATCTGATAATAATGGGCAAATTTTGGGTGATGAAAGGTAGGGATTGGGGACCCTCCAGGATTCAACATTTCTTCCAATTGTTCATGGTTTGTTCTCCATCAGAACAGATTAGAAATTAATAAATATTACTGCATTTCAGCTTGACTCAGTAGAAACCTCCTGATCTCCTTTATGAACACAAGAGCATTCATCTGTGACGAGGGCAGGTAGTTCCAAACCAACAGTCAAAAAGAGCATTTATAGTCTACAGTCTGTGCTATTTCCGGTGATCTGTAGTCTACAGCAAGACAAGAACACCTCTACAATCAGACACAGACATCTCAACCAATCTCGAATGTGAACTGTGAGATAGAATTCAAACCTCATAATTTGTACATTTGAGGCAATTGGAACAATCCCCTTTATTGCATTTATTTGATGTTTGGTTTTCATTTGTTTCATTCATTGAAACTGTGACTTTTCTAAGGAAGACAGACACTAATACTCTCAGAGTAGATTTATTGACAAGTGACAAGTATACATGGTAAGGACTTCTTAATATTTCTTGACATTGTAACCAAACCCACTAGTCATGAAAGTATCTACATAGACCAAGTGCTACACTTTCAGCAAGGAAGATGTAAGGAAGGCATGTTGGCTATTTGTAAGTTTCAGAAAAGATACTTCCATAAAATAGGTTTGAGTGTGGTGGGTATGGTTTGATCCTCACATACATACTTTTGAGAATCGTACCCAGAAGATTCGCATTCATAAAGCCAGTGAACAATGGGGTGAAATAGGGGAAACACCTCCTTGGAAACACAGGGCCCAGTTTTGAAATTTTTCTTTGGCTCTCAAATGGCTGGTCACTTTTTCAGGATTCTCATCCAAACCATGTTTGGACTGACTATTTAAGTCTTACTGCCTTTTCAGAAATCTGCTTTCCTTTTTGTGCTTTTTCTTGTACTGTATAGCACGGTTCATGCACCTCTCTTTAGATGGTGTCCTTTAAAAACAAAAGTAAATTTTAGAAAATGGTTTTAACACTGCATACCTGAAATTAGTAGTGTGCAACATTGACTGCCTTCGATTTGTAGTAGATGAGTCAAAATGAACACGTCCTTGTGGCATATGCTGTCGAAGTCATTCGGAATGACTATGATTTCATTGCTGTCATCATGAACCTTTTTTACGTGAACGCACTTCCCTAGAAGTGCTGAACATGATGCATTTTCAAATTAAAAAAAATTATTCAGATGATATATTTGAAATGTCTAAAATGATGCTGTGCTTGAAACATTAGTGTAAAAGAAAAAAAAATGTGTGTCACTGTGATGTTGGTCCTCCCTGTGTGGACGCAAGTAGAAAGTCAAAAAACAAAAAAACAAAAAACAAAACAAAAAAAACTCTGGCAAGTCACCTTTCTGTACAATTTGAGGCAGTGGTTATAGACAACAAATTGACCTTTGGTAGAATCTTCCCCCCCCCCCATTCTTGGTGAGAAAACACCAACTATCAAAACATGGAAATCAGGACAAATCAGAACTTCTGATTTCGATGAATTACACCAGAACGATGGGGAGAGGGGCGGACATGCAGTGCTATGAAAATTGGGCTTGTCACTAGATCAGATCAACCTCCATGTATATGGTTAGAACAAATCAATGAATGGAATCCTAGTATTTCTGCAAGTTTGGTGATTTTTTTTAAAAACTGGAATAGAAGCATTAATTCAGTGCTTAGTTCTAGTATTAGAAAACCCCTTTGATGTAATGCCTTGTATTAACCCTTTGAGCATTGTAAGATATACAATGGGGGACAAAAGCCTTTCAGATCATTTATTTAGACTTAGACCGGTAAAATATACTCTATATCCAAATGTCTAATTATGCTGTTTTTTTAAAGGGGGGGGTAGGAAAAGAAAGTGTTTCCATGCTGAACACTTGCATTTTATATACAACTCTTAATTTTCTTCTTCAAGAGGGCTTGATATATTTATTCCCAAATATTCACTGCCATCTAAGTAAGTGTACTGTTTACAGAAAAAATTCAACTTTTCTAGCATCACATCATGACTCTAGAAAAGGAGGACAGATACATGGGCCTGTTGACCTATGTCATAACTGATCTCTGCACATTGAAAGTACCTAGATTGCCTTTAAAAGGTATGATAAAGAAAGGGTTACATTTCTTTTTCTTCTTTTTTTTTTTCCTTTCCCAAAACAAAACAAAAGATCTCGTTTATTTAGCTTTAGAAAAGTACAATTGTTAAGTGAAGCCTTAGGAAGAAATGAGTTCGAGTGGATAAAGAAAAGCTGAACTCTTTGGGGGCAGGTAAGCTATTTGGAGTTAGATCACTCATAAAATAATATTGTTTGGGAATTTCATACAGGGCATAATTTTACCTATGCTCCAAAACTTTATAACACTTGGTCAAAAAAATTAGACGTAGATAGAATGGAGAGCAAAGCACTTGATTTTCAGCTCATCTGTCAGGAGATGCCATGACGACTGCTTCTGATATGG